GACTGGATTGCACAGAGGAAATTATCCCACATCTATGGTTGCGAAGTGTGTGGCAGACCTTTGGCAGACGTTAACTCAAGGTGTGTGTGTGTGTTTGTGTGTGCGTGCGTGCGTGTGTGTGTGCGTGCGTGCGTGTGTTTCCCAGCAGAAGTATTTATCTCTTCTTTCTTTCAGACTCTAATGTACCGTTTCTCTTCATTCTCTGTCTTTGTAAAGGGATTTTGTACTTTAATCTCAGAAGTGTTAGAGATTTACTAACCTCATGTCTCATTTTATTCAAGTTTCACTGGATGATGTTTCAGCCTATAAATATAATATTCATAATAATATTGAATGAATAAATGTATTGCATCATACATCTATCTTCTGTGTGTGTCATTTCTGAAGCTGATCAATATCTGACTGTATGAGATGCTGTATCCCATAATGCACTGCACTCTTGACCTTCCGTTTCCAGTGTGACAAATGAACAGAAGTTTTTATCAGATTGACATTTTTCCACAAATTTTTAAAGATGCAGAATAACTTTATTTGATGATGAACTGGTGATGCCATGGTGAAGCATTCATCATTAGCCAGCTCACAGGGAACATTCTCAGAACATTCTCTTAAAGTTATGAACAAACGTACAGTCATAGAACATTTGTTCAAAGGTCTTTAATATAAAATTCTCAAAACATTAGCACAAAAACTTTATTTATACATCATTCGTGGAATGTTCTTTTGAAACATTTTGGTTTGATGTTTTTTAACCAACATTTTTAAATGTTTCTACTTGTTTCAGAGAACAATCAAAAGTAACATTCCCATAATATTGGAAAGAATGGAATGTTCCCTTAACGAATCAGGGTATCTTCCGTCCATTCCAAATCCGTTTTCAATTAAAAAACAGAAAACGAAAAAACTAATCGTTTTTTAATTTATCATTTTATTGCCTTTGTTTAATATTTACTTAAAGTTATATTTTTCTATTCTGCCAGACACATAATCTACTCTAAATAATGGATTTTAGAATATTGGCCTAAAAATGGAATATGACATTTTGATTTTTTAACTAAACTGTGACCCGGAAGTTCACGCGCCGGGACGAATGGAAACGGAAGAGTGCGGATGCCGAATTCAGTCGTGAAACTTCCTTCAAGCAAGCCATGGATACATACACGCTTTTCATTTAATTGAAAACGGATTTGGAATGGACGGAAGATACCCTGATTTTAACGTCTGCATGACCAGGAAAAAAAATAACATTTAAAAAACTGACCATTCAGAAAGAACATTTTTATAACATAATGGGAAAGTTAGCAAAACATTCTTAGAACATATTTTTGTAAACTGGAATTCCCTTTGTAAGACCCCAAATGATAACTCTCATAAAACAGATGCCATGCAACAAAACAATAAACTTTCTAATCTGAAGAGAAGATCTCCAAGAAAACCAAGTATGCCTTTCTTTTTATTTTTCAAATGTGTAATTGTGTGCTCATAGAGCACACTGTATAGTTGTTTGTGCTACTACATGTGCACACAGACTAGTCAAGTTTATCCTTTAAAACACGTGACTGCTTTGCTGTAAGTCTTGTTTGAAATACTTTGGTAAAAGGTTGTAGATGCTATGCATTCTAGACCATGTGTCTTGTGTAAAATTAGAATAACTGTAACACTGTAATTATTCACCAATTTCAAGCTACATGTGTGACTATGTTGAATTTGTTTGTCTTCTACGTGGAACGCTCAATTATTTCCCATATAACTGCAGTAATCCATATACAGGAGCATAGAAATGCCATGTGGCTACAATGTGATTCACAGTTGCATTATCCTTTCTGAATTGGCTTCTAATTGTTTAATTATGTTATTGGCTTGATACACTTTTACCTGACTAATAGTAAATTGTTACATTTGATTTTATTCTGACCTCATTATTTCTAGTAGATTAAAGTGCAGTCTGGTGTTTCTGCGAATCTGTGTCCAGGATAGATCATACTGAAGTGCCAATGAATGGAGCATGGGGCACATCATTAGGGACTTCTGATTTCTCACTGACTTAACACGTTGCAGTTTTCATGATTATAAAAACAAAAACACTTTTTGTTATGTGCTAGCAGGGTGCGGCCTGCTCAAAGCTATTATAATCACCCTGCATCCTCTGAGTAAGATCAGAACTGTGAGTTTGTGTCCGTGAGTTCACTACTGGGCGCGTGAATTTTTTATGCAACACCGGGTCCTTAATGAACGAATAATTGCGAGTATGGGATGTTCAGAATAACCAAATATCTAATTTAATACATAATTAATATTTGTGATCAGTTTAATTAGAAATACAGCCTAAATTTAATGATCACTTGAAATTGGAGTCAGATTAAACATGGAGCTAGACTAAAATATAAACTGAATCCTGATAAATTAAGTGAAATTTGCAGAAGTGCAAGTAAAACACTTACACCTTAATGTTTTGTCTAATGTTCACATAACCACACACAAAAAAAACAGTTTTTAACATTTTAAGCTGAAGTTTGAATGTTCTGAGAACGCTCTGAAATAACCTTTTCATGGGAACTTAATGAGAATGTTAGCAAAACATTCTTAGAACATATTTTTGTTAGCTGGGTATACTGTATACAGCTTTCTGTTTCACATCATGTGTAAGAGAGAGTGCAGTGCACTGTGTGTTCGAGTGTGTGTGTGTCTGTGTGTGTGTTTGAGTGTGTGAGTGAGTGTGAGTGTGGGGGGTTATTTTGAGATACTGGGAGAAACACAAAGGATTCCAGAGAATTGTGAAGCTGAAAAAGAGAAAATCACAAACGCACAGTGAGTAACAGTGTGTGCAGAAGCTCAGAGCGTGTTTATTTTAGTCTTTTGTCATATTTCCAGTGTGGAAAGAGAGAGAGCCATCTGTTGTGTTTGT